ATGGCATAACCTCTTAGGTATTGGCAGAGAACAGTGCCAGTCCTGGAACATGAATTGGGGCCTGGTGTGTGTGTGTGTGTGTGTGTGTGTGTGTGTGTGTGTGCCAGTCCTGGAACATGAATTGGGGCCTGGGCACTCCCTTAGCTTTTGTGCTCAAAGCTAGTATTCTGTCATTTGAGCCACAGCTCCGCTTCCATCTTTTTGGTGGTTAATTAGAACTAAGAGTCTCATAGATTCTCCTGCCTAGGCTAGCCTTGAACTGTGATCCTCAGCTCTCAGCCTCCTGAGTAGCTAGGATTGGGGCTTTATATATTTAGGGCAAGAAAGAACAAGATTATGTTACTTCAATTTTTTTTTTTTTTGCCTGTCTTGGGGCTTAAACTCAGGGCCTAGACTCTGCCTTGAGCTTCTTTTGCTCAAGGCTAGTGTTCTACCACTTGAGCCACTGGGTTTTCCTGAGTAGTTTATTGGAGATAAGAGGCTCATGGACTTTCTTATCCAGGCTGGCTTTGAACCACAATCTTCAGATCTCAGCCTCCTGAGTAGCTAAGATTATAGGCATAAGCCACTGGCACCTGGCTGTTATTTCAGTTTTTGAATAAGTAATAAATACACTGGTATTTTATTTATTTATTTATTGTCGGTCATGAGGCTTGAACTCTGAGCTTGGGCGCTGTCCCTCAGCTCTTCAGCTCAAGGCAAGTGCTCTACCACTTGAGCCACAGCGCCACTTCCTACACTGGTATTTTAACATGTACAAAAGTTTACAGTGAAGTCTCCCATCCCTGTCTTCTGCCAGGGAGAATAGGGTTTTAATAATTAGAAATAAGTGGTAAGTTTGTACAGAGAGGCCTGGCAGAGGTAACAGTAAACTAAGGCTGCCAGCTTAAACCTGAGTTCTTGTAGACAGAACTCAGGATCTTTTCTGCAGGGGTCATGTTATGTTAAGATGGATACTTTAAGGTATATACACAGACTCTGGGCCCTCCTCTGGATTCAGTTGCCCATATTTTTTTTTCTTTTTCTTTTTTGCCAGTCCTGGGCCTTGAACTCAGGGCCTGAGCACTGTCCCTGAGCTTTTTTGCTAAAGGCTAGCACTCTACCACTTGAGCCACAGCGCCACTTCCAGCTTTTCCTGTTTATGTGGTACTGAGGAATCTAACCCAGGGCTTCATGCATGCTAGGCAAGCACTCTACCACTAAGTCACACCCTCAGCCCTCAGTCACCATCTTTTTGCTTTTAACGCCCCCCCCCTTTTTTTTCTTTTTGTCGGTCATGGGGCTTGAACTCTGGGCCTGGGTGCTGTCCCTCAGCTCTTCAGTTCAAGGATCGTGCTCTACCACTGGGGCCACAGTGCCACTTCTGGTTTTCTGGTGGTTTATTGGAGATTAAGAGTCTCACGGACTTTTCCGCCCAGGCCGGCTTTGAACTGTCATCTTCAGATCTCAGACTACTGAGTAGCCAGGATTATAGGTGTGAATCACCAGTGCCCGGCTTTTGACCCCTTTTCTTACCTTTCTGTCTCAAACTCCTTGGTTAGGGTCTCCAGTTCCATGTTATAACTCTCCTCCAGGAGGTTGAGCCGATGCCTCTGCAGGGCCAATAGCTGGTCAATGTTGTGCAAATGGCTGCGTAGGGCGTGGGCATACTGCTCCTCAGCTTCTGACAGATCCTTAGCTAAAGACTGGGCAGAGAAGGAGTTACCATTCTGGCTTAGTAACATCTATGTGAGAAAATAAAAGATGTATTCAGCTGCCATGCCAGATGGCATGATAGCATTCCTCCCTTAGTTCCCAATGCCAGTTCGTTGGCTTTAGGAATGGTAGCTTTTTCACTCAAATCTTTTCTTTTACATTTTTTACTGTTATTATAAAAGTGATGTACAAGGGGATTACAGTACGTAAGTCAGGCTCAGAGTACATTTCTTTATGGACAATGTCACCCCATTCCCTTGCTCTCTCCCAGCTTTTCCCTCTGATTGCCACCTTTTACTTGGTCTTAAATGTTAAGCAAGAGTGATGTCAAGGAGCCTCATGAAGGCAGCCAGCGTTCTGTGGACAGCGAAGGAGCGACACTCTAAAGAACCAGAGACCCCTGGAGAAATGGCTGCTTTGAAGTTTGAAGCAGAAAATTAGTTGAACCTAGGCTATCACCATACAGAATAGCAAAGAAATCTGTCATTGTGGTGCATACCTATTAGCCCCACTGCTCTGGAGGCCAAACTAGAAGGATTTAAAAGAAGCTCAATGACTTCCTAGGCAACTTAACAAGTCCCTGTCTCAGAATAATTTTTGTTGTTCTTGTTCTGGAGCTGGGACTTGAACTCTGCCTAGGTACTAGCCCTGACCTTTTGTGTTCAAGGCTAATGCTCTATCACTTGAGCCACAGTGCCATTTCCACTAAAATAAAGTTGTTGCCAGGTGCCATTGGCTCACGCTAGTAATCCTAGCTACTCAGAACACTGAGATCTGACCCAGGCAGGAAAATCCATGAGACCTTTTTTTCTTTTTCTTATTTTTTTGTTGGTTGTGGGGCTTGAACTCTGGACCTGGGGGGTTATCATCCCTCAGCTCTTGAGGTCAAGGCTAGCGCTCTACCACTTGAGCCACAGTGCCACTTCCAGTTTTCTGGTGGTTAATTGAAGAGTCTCACAGACTTTCCTTGCCTGGACTGGATTTGAACCATGATCCTCAGATCTTAGCCTCCTGAGTAGCTAGGATTACAGCCATGAGCCACCAGTGCCTGGCTTCCATGAGACTTTTATCTCCAATTAACCACCAGAAAACTGAAAGTGATGCTATGGCTCCAAGTGGTAGAGTGCTAGCCTTGAGCAAAAAAGATTGCTCAAGGACAGCTCTCAATCTTTGAGTTCCAGCCCCATCACATACATACATACAAACATAGCTTGAAAGGGACAGGCAAACAGCCAAGTGGTAGAACACTTGCTTAGCCTGGATGAGGCCTAAAGTTCAATCTCTACTATAGCAAACAGATTAATTTATTGGCTATCAAAAGCCAATAAAGTCAGGACTCGGCAATCACCAGGAAGTGGCTTACATTGACCATTATACCTTTTCTACAATGTGACCTCATTTTTCTCCCATGAAAATTCAGGTAGTGTCTCTTCTATCCATGTAAATGTGGATGAACCCTGTGACTTCTTGGATCTATAGAATAGGTAGAATAGGTAGAGGTGACACTGTGCTGATTCTAAGCACAGCCCTTAACTAGTCTGGCAGCTTCTACTTCCTGCTCCTTGGAACACTTATTCTCAGGATGCTGGCTCCTGGAAGCAAGCTGTCATGCTGTGAGACACCATGGTGGCACATGGAGGGACCATGAGAAAACATCTTAGTCAACAGCCTAGCAGAGAGATCCTCAACAAAGGGCAGTTTGAGCAACTATAAGTACTATAATGGGTGGAAAATGCCAACAAATTCCGATTGTTCCCTTCTCAATAATTATTTGATATTTCCCAACAGAAGTCTTAAAAACACTATTTAAAACCCTAGCATATAATGTTTTATTTTACTTTCTTTCTTTTTTTTTGGGGGGGGGGTCTGGTTGTGGCCTGAACTTTGGGCCTGGGCGCTGTCCCTCAGCTCTTCAGTCAAGGCTAGCGCTCTACCACTTACCTGAGCCACAGTGCCACTTCCGGCTTTTTTCTTTTTGCTTATGTGGTGCTGAGGAATCGAACCCAGGGCCTCAGGCATGCAAGGCAAGCGCTCTACCACTGAGCCACCTTCCCAGTCCCTTATTTTACTTTCTTAAGGACTTTTTTCCTGGGCCTGGGGACAGTCCCTGAGCTTTTTGTGTTCATGGCTAGCACTCTACCACTCAAGCCACAGCTCTACTTCCAGCTTTTTGGTGATTAACTGGGCTATAAAGGTTGAATCAAAGAGACCGATTTGGTTAAATGAAGAGCTGGAGTGGGGATAAAAGAGCAAGCACAAGGCCCTGAGTTCACACTCTAGTATCACCCCAAAGCAAATACTCACCTCTGAAAAAGAACCCATAGTCTAGAGTCTTGGCTCTCCCACTGACTAGCTAGCTATGTGATCTGTAGCAAGTTAATTTTTCTCTCTGGAACTGAGCCTTCTAACACTAAAATAAAAGTGTGGGACTAAGTTCGAGTCACTGTGATAATGTCTACTGTGACTTACACTCTTTAATACTGATTTTTTTTTTTAATTTTGGCAATATTGAGGATGGCACTTAGGAACTCACATTTGCTAGGCAATACTCAACCACTTGAGCCTGCCTCCAGCCCACAACTCTAACACTATATAGTACTGGTGTGGGGCAGTAGTACATGATGAAGAATATTGGCCTTTCTTTTCCTTTCTTTTTCTTTTTTTGTCTTTTCAGGACTTGAACTTAGGGCCTGAGCACTGCCCCTGAGCTTTGCTCAAGGCTACATTGAATCACAGCACGGCTTCTGGTTTTCTGGTGGTTAATAAGGGATAAGTCTCATGGACTTTCCTGCCTGGACTGGCTTTGAACTGCAATCCTCAGATCTCAGCCTCTTGAGTAGCTAGGTTTATAGGAATGTGCCACCAGTGCCTGGCTGAATATCAGCTTTTCTAAGGAAGGGAGAACCATGGGTGACAGCACAATACTCTGCTTCATTTGATTATTGTCAAAAACCTGGGCTGGGTGCTGGTGGCTCATAACTGTAATCTTAGCTACTCAGGAAGCTGATATCTGAGGATCATGGTTCAAAGCCAGCCCAGGCAGAAAAGTCTGTGAGACTCTCATATCCAATTAGTGATAATAAAATAAAATAAAAAGCCAGAAGTGGAGCTGTAACTCAAGTGGTAGAGCACTAGTCTTGAGCACAAAACCTCAGAGACAGCACCCAGACCCAGGGTTTAAGCCCCAGGACTGGCACAAACATACGTGTAACACATACACACACACAAATAACAACCTGGATTTGTCACAGCCTGTAACCTTTTAGGGCTTTAAGACCAATTAATTCACTAAGCTCAGCTATTAAGAGAAGGGGGTGGGTAGTTTCCCGGGGCAAGTGCTTACCTTGATGACACTGTCCTTGCAGTCTACCACTCGTTCAAATGTTTGGCTGAGGACCTCAATGTCCTTATGAAGTTCTTTGGTCTTGACTTCCCGAAGGACAGTTCTCCAATGTGTGTTTATCTTATTAAGGTTCAAAGCACTGTTGTGCTCCTCCTTGGCCAGCTTGTCCTGTGTGAAGGAATAACTATACTTCTAGAGGGTCAAGACTCAAAGAACTGTTGTTAGTACAACCAACAAGAGCACTCAAGTCAAAACCTCACCACCACTCGTATTTTCTGCAGGTCCAAGATTCTTGCCCACTGCCACTCAGGAGATCCTGTGTTTGTTTTGGGAGAAACCTGAAGTAAAACAGGAACTGCCTGATGACATGTGGGACAGGGCAAGAACATCTCCTTCTGAGTGAGGCATCACAGCAGGATGCCGTTTCTAATGACCCATCTCCAGGGAGAGTATCAGAATCCAAGACAGCTTAATCCAGACAGCTAACAGCACCTACTGTCCTAGTTCTGGGGCTCAGATGAAACTGGAAACCTCTATTCCACGGCAGCCCTCCATGCTTCACAAAGAACTCCCCAGGCCTGAAACCTAAGTATGTTGGAACTCAGGATTTCTGGAGGAAGGGAGTGGGGAGTGAACATGGGCCACAGGGCCAGTAGAGAGGATGGGGTAGGGCTGGGTAGGACATCACCTTCAAGAACTGGCTGAGAAGCTTCTCCTTCTTCTTGGCCATCTCCTCCTCGGCCAGCAACTTCTGCTGAAACAGAAGCAGCTGCTCCTCGTCGGACAGGGGCACCTTGCCCCTTTTCCCTTTCTTAGGCATGGCTGGGCGGTAGAATACGTTCTCGTCCGGTGTTAGAGGGTAGACGAAAAACGCCTCCTGAAAGGCCCCTTGGGGAACCTTTAGAGCAACCGAGGGCTCGTACCACCCAAGACCCGCTCTCCTGGGGAAAGATGCATCTCGTCTCCTAGCAACAAGGACTTCGCTTAGACCGCTCTGGGAGTGGTTTGGAGAAGGGCCTTGTCTTGGAGCGCCCCCTGCTCGCTGGAGGACCGCACCGCAGTCGGTTTGTGTGAGCGGGTGTCTTCAGCATGCAAAAACACTAGTCTCAGTACTATTAAAATCTCCCCCACTCCATTCTTTGTCTATTTTTTCTCTCTTTTGCTAAGAATAGCCATAGTAAAGAAGATATTAGCAAATGTTGGATGGAATTCATTGAAACAAGAACCTTCATGTATTGATTGTAATGAGGTAAAATGTTCTGGGCACTGGTGCTTCACGCCTATAATCCTATTCGGTTGGTTGTGATCTGAGAATCACGAGTTGAAGCCAGCCCAGCGAGGAGAGTCCATGTTATTTTCATCTCCAATCAAGCACCAAAAAGTTGGAAGTGGAAGTGTGGCTTAAGTCGTAAGAGTGCCAGCTTTGAGCAAAAAAGGGACAGCACCTAGGTCCTGAGTTCATTTCCTAGAACCAGCACAAAAGAAAAAAGAAGTAAAATGATGTGCAACCACTTTGGGAACCAGTTAGATAGTTTCTTGAAATCTAAAACATAAATTTGACTTATGAAATGGTAACCCCTCTGTATATCACCTTTAAAATAACAATAAAAAATAACTGTGGCAAAACCACCATAAACTTATCATGGAACCCCAAATTTCACTTTTAGGGATATTCCTAAGAATAGGAAATATGCATTCACACAAAGGCTTGCACAGGATTTTTTTTTTAATAATCTTGGGTGCTGTCCCTGAACCTCTTTGTGCTCAAGATCAGCATTCCACCACTTGAGCCACAGCGCCACTTCCAGCTTTTTTTTTTTTTTTTTGGTCGGTCATGGGGCTTGAACTCCAGGCCTTGTCACTGTCCCTGAGCTCTTCAGCTCAAGGCCAGCACTCTACCACTTGAGCCACAGCACCACTTCCAGTTTTCTGATGGTTAATTGGAGATAAATGTCTCACAGACTTTTCTGACTGGGCTGGCTTTGAACCACCATCCTCAGATCTCAGCGTCCTGAGTAGATAGAATTACAGAAATGAGCCACCAGCACCCAGCTCAGCTTTTTTTTTTTTTTTGAGTAGTTTATTTAAGATAAAAGTCTAAAGGGGACTTTTGGACTTTTCTGCCCAGGGTTGGCTTTGAACTATGATCCTCAGATCTCAGCCTCCTAAATAGCTAAGATGATAGGCATGAGCTACTGGTGCCCAGATAGGAATGTTCTTAAGTCTGTCACTTATAATAGCCCAATTGAAAAAAAATGTATGTCTGTTAATATGTGAATGGGTAGATAAAATATGCCATTGATTATACCATGGGACATTATTCATCAATAAAAAGAAAAAATGGATATGTACTCATAATGTGAATTATGCTCATTGAGAGAAACAAGACATAGGAGATCATACATTGTATCATTCCATTTATATGAAGTATTCAGTAAAAGCCAAGGTATAAAGACAAAGTAAGCTTGTGCTGATGGCTTATGCCTATAAGCCTAACTATTCAGGAGGCTGAGATCTGAGGATCATGGTTCAAAGACAGTCCTGGAAGGAAAATCCATGAGACTCTTATCTTCAATTAATAATCAAAAAGCCAGACTTGGAGGTGTGACTCAAGTGGTAGAGTGTAGAAAGCCAGCCTTGAGCAGAAAAGCTAAAGGACAGCATTTAGGCCCTGAATTCAAGCCCATCTATAGACACCTAAAAAAAAGTAAATAAATAAATTGCAAGGAGCTCACTTCGATAATGGTAAGTGGTATCACAACCATCTCTAGCCATTAATTTTTTGACCCATGAAGAATCTTGATTAAAGAAGTAATGACACCTTATCTTGAAGACAGATTCACACATAGCATGTACAACCTTCTGGGGAATTTTGCCTCTGCCCTGAGAAGTGTTTCTTTTTCTTTTTATCCAAGCAGCCATTTCAGATTGGTTTAAAATATGGTAAGTCCAGGTAATTTCCTAAGCTTTGATGCATTGCCATATTTTGTTTGCTATAAAGCAAATTCCTTATCAGAAGCAATGCTGACTACAGTACCCTGTTAGTGGATGAGACAGCCTCTAAGTCACGGATGGTAGTTTTGACAGAAGTACTATGAGTAGAGAAGGAAAATCTGGATGTGCTCTTTCCTGTTTATTTGCCATTTAAATATCCTTTTTTATGGGGCACCTATTCAAGTTTCTTGCCTGATTTTCTTTTCTTTTCTTTTTTTTTTTTTTGGTCTGGTTGTGGGGCCTGAACTCTGGGCCTGAGCGCTGTCCCTCAGCTCTTCAGCTCAAGGCTAGTGCTCTACCACTTGAGCCACAGTGCCACTTCCAGCTTTTTTTCTTTTTGCTTATGTGGTGCTGAGGAATCGAACCCAGGGCCTCAGGCATGCAAGGCATCTACCACTGAGCCAACTTCCCAGCCCCTCTTGCCTGATTTTCTATCAGATTTTTTGTTTGTTTGTTTTACCAGTCATGGAGCTTGAACGCCGGGCCTGGGTGCTGTCCCTGTGCTTTTTTTTCTCAAGGTTAGTGCTCTACCACTTTGAGCCACAGTGCCACTTCTGGTTTTCTGGTGATTAATTGGAGATAAAAATTCTCATGGAGCCGGGTGCTGGTGGCTCACGCCTGTAATCCTAGCTACTCAGGAGGCTGAGATCTGAGGATTGCGGTTCAAAGCCAGCCCGGGCAGGAGAGACCGTGAGACTCCTATCTCCAATAAACCACCAGAAAACCAGAAGTGGCGCTGTAGCTCAAGTGGTAGAGTGCTTGCCTTGAGCTGAAGAGCTGAGGGACAGCGCCCAGGCCCAGAGTTCAAGTCCCACGACTGACAAAAAAAAAAAATTCTCATGGACTTTCTTGCTCAGGATGGCATTGAACTGAGATCTTCAAATTTCAACCTCCTGAGTAGCTATGATTACAGGTGTGAGCCATCAATGCCTGGTTTGGGTTTTTTTTTCTTTTAATTGGTTTGTAGTACATTTTATATTTTGGGTGTACATCCTTCAGTAGCATATGTGTTCCAGATTTCTTCTCCCAGCTTATGGCTCTTCTTTTTATTTTTTTGTTGTTTTTGAGATAAGGTCTTAGGTAGTCCAGGTTGACGTCTAACTTTCAGTCCACCTGTTTGAGCCTCCCAAGTACAAAGGTTATAGGTGTGATCCCATGCAAAGTACTATTGTTTTGTTTTGGTGTTAGTATTGGGGCTTGAGTTTAGGACCTGGAGCATGGCTTAGCTATTTTTGTTTACAGCTGGTATTCTACCACTTGAGCCAAAACTCTACTTCTGTTTATCTATTTAAATTGGTTAATTGGAGATAAGAGTCTCAGATTTATCTGCCCAGGCTGGCTTTAAGCCTCAGTCCTCCGATTTCAGCCTCTAGAGTAGCTAGGATTACAAGCATAAGCTACCAGTGCCTGGATTGATTTTTTTCAAATTTAAAATAAGCTCTCTCTCTTTTTTTTTGAATAAGGCTACAATCATGCTATATTGTTGTTTGTGTCTGTGGCTAGATAGCATTTGCTTTTTTTTCTTTTGACAATATTGAAGATTGAACTTAAAGCATCCCACAAAGCATTATGCCCATCTTTGGTCCTCAGCTCCACCCAGACCTGAGCTCCTCCCTGCCCTGGAGTTCCCGCTGGCTCCTCCCTCTCTCTGCCCAGACCCACCTGAACTCTCATCTACCTCACTTCCTAACGCCCAGATCCTGCTGCTACCTAGATAGTGGAGGTCACCATGTGGCTCTCTCTCCGGGGCAAATATGGCTCCTCTAATAAACCTTGTAATAATCTTTCTCCTGTGCCTACCTGCCTCCCAGTGGTCCCCTGGGATGGATGTGATGTATCCTTTGAATCCTAGCATTTACACTGCACCCCCATCCTTTTGCTTTCAGTTTGTTTTTCAGGTTAGGTCTCTTGCTTTTGCCTGGCTGACTGTAGATCCAAATCCTCTTACCTCTGTTTCCTTTCTTTTTTTGGCCAGTCCTGGGGCTTGAACTCAGAGCCTGGGCGCTGCCCCTGTGCTCAAGGCTAGCACTCTACCACTTGAGCCACAGCGCTTCCAGTTTTTTTTTTTCTGTTTATGTGGTACTGAGGAATGGAACCCAGGGCTTCATGCATGCTAGGCAAGCACTCTACCACTAAGCTGCATTCCCAGCCCTTACCTCTGTTTCTTGCATAGCTAGGATTACAGTTCTGCACGCCACACCTAACCTTTCTTCTTTCTCTTTCTCCTTCTCCTCTTCCTTTCTGTGGGGCTAAAGATTGAGTTCTGGTCCTTGTGCCTGTTAAGCAAACATTCTACCTCTGAGCTCTAGCCCCTTTTGTATATGTCTTATTTAGGGCATAAGCATTAGGAATGATCAATCTGAATGTACTTACATCTACAACCTTGAGTGTAATTTTCCTTTCTTATAATATCTTTATCAGATTCAGAGTGTAGCTTATGTTTGCCTAAACAAATGAGTTGGACAGGGCAGCCTTTATTGGATTCATTTGGAAGATATAGTATCCAATTCACATTCTTCCTCCTTGAATACTTGATAGAACTGATGACACTTCTGAGCCTGGGATTTGATTTGTGGGGTGTGTGTGTGTGTGAGAGAGAGAGAGAGAGAGTATTAGGGTTTAAACTCCAGACTTTATGCTTGCTAAGCTAGGACAGCTTACTAGGCTGGGGACTTGGTTCAAGTAGTAAAGTCCCTGCCTAGTAAAAGAGATGTACTAAGTTCAAACTCCAGTACTACAATCATTCAATCAATACAATAACAGCTTTGTTGAGATATATTTCCCACTGTAAATGTTTTAAGTGTGATCATAGAGTCATGTAACCATCACCACAATTAATTTTAGA